AAAATACATTGATTCTAAGGAGAAGAGAAATTATTCAAACAGTAATAAAATAAAGTACCAAAAACACACGGATTGTTGACATAGTTATAAACTGGATTGAGGAGGAGTGGTTTATATTTACAATAAATAAATATATAGATTAAAATCGAAAATTTGTTCCTTCTATAACAATGTATGAGCACATAAGAAAAATATAAGAGATACATAAGAGATACATAAGAGAAATAGTGTTCTGTAGAATCTTACCTCTCGTTATAGAAGGAACAAATTTTCGATTTTAATCTATATATTTATTTATTATAAATATAAACCACTCCTCCTCAATCCAGTTTATAACTATGTCAACAATCCGTGTGTTTTTGGTACTTTATTTTATTACTGTTTGAATAATTTCTCTTCTCCTTAGAATCAATGTATTTTATTTGCTACTTCTGGAAGTTGTAAAAACCAAACTCGTAGGTTTCGCCCCGCATTATCATAATACTATATAACAGAGACGAACAAACGGTTTTTTCGAATACTACGCTTCTATCAGGCACAAATAATTATTTTTGTATTCAGCAACAAACTGTTCGACTTATGAATAAAATCTTTGGACGCACACGTCCTGAGATATAGGCATTTGGTGACAACTCGAAAACTCATTTGACATCGGCTTGACAAGCGGCTCTAAATACTTGTGAGATCCAACTCCCACTCCATAGGTTTATTTGCAGTAAGTGAACGGCTATGTATAATAACTTACACAAGTCGAGCAAGAGTTGCGCAAGAACAGAAAGAGCTAGGAAGCGGAAGGATGAAATAAGAGTTGCGTAAGGATAGTGCAAGAGCAGAATCTTATGAGCTGCGGGGACGACAGGTCATAACAAGACGTCGTAACGAATTTATAGAAAAAATAATTTTTCTGGACGGTTTTCTAGCACAGATAAATTACCGAAGCTATTGCTTTGATGACACAACTATTTTATATAGAGATGAAGCAGCCGATTCCAGCTTTCTGAGTCACTATTTGGTTTTGTTAATAGATGCTTAGTTCGAATAAAAGGAAATGCTTCTGTTTAATCTTGTTTATTGGATTATAGACAAAAATATTTCCCACGAGATTTATAGAGATATACCGAGTTGACGAAAAATAAATCGTGAATTTTGTTTTCGTAGGCCTTTCTTACTATTAATGATAGACGGCCAGTTCAAACACCTGCCGAATCAGCAGATATTTCTGAATATTAGTACATATGAAAATAACTAATACACGAGACTGTTAAAACTTTATGAAACGACGTTTCTTGTCTGTGGTCTTGAATATCGATTTACTGGTATATTTGCAAAACAAAGGTCAACTCGATCATGACGAAGTCACATATAGAAATGCAAAACAAAGATGAAACAACGCCTTTGGCATTCTCTTTTACTAGAGATCATTTCATTCTCCTCTCAAAATTAACAAGTTATATTTATCCCTTCTTCAGCTAAATTTCCTACATTTTTCAAAACAACATGGTGCATTCTCTGTGATATGTGAAATCTTCATGGGTAAATGTTTTTTTTTCTTTATGCACTTTTTCTTCTCATCTTAGGTCGAGTTTTGATTTTGATTATATTGTCTACTGTTATGCACAAGAAAGAAGAATTTTTGTTTCCTTATTTGAAACCAAGCAACAGAACTAAAACAACAATTCTTTTCATTCATCTGTCTCAATTACCGGCGGGTCGGCCATATGGCGAGGGGTGGCAACTGCCACTCCTGGCGAAATTTTGGGGTGGCAATAAAATTTTATTGCCACCAGCGCTAACAGCTGGCTGGTCATGGGAAGCTAAATGTAAAATATTTTACAAGATTCGTGTCTGAACAGCGAACAGCCAAGAAACAAGAATCTTACAAGAATACCCACAAGAACATCGAAAATTGAATATGTAATATATATTTAATACAGCTGCACGTGTCTGATCGTTCGTTTCTATCGAAAGAAGAAAAAAAAGAAAAGTAAACAGAACGAAGAAAACGTTGTTCTGTTTCGTTTTTTCTATAAAGAGAATATTGTTCAGATATTACTGTCATCTGTAGTATCGTTTTCAGCCGAAATATAACTAGATTTTTATTCTAAAACATATTTTTAACTTTAAAAGCTCTGTTTAAAGCTATTTTGACGTAGAGGCTCAAGTTACAAAATGCTCAATGGTGAAAAAGTGATTTTAGCTTCCCATGACCCAGTTGGCTCGAATAGTATAGAGTCTTCGGAAAGCATGGACTTGTTTTTAATTGGTTAGAAATCTTAGCCATTTAAGAGGCTGGGTTCTTCTCTGTGACTTGCTCGTGCACATCTCATTCATTCATTAATCTCGAATCTCATCAGTTGACTTGTCACAAGAAATGTCTCGGAAAGGCACACTTGACTTCTTCTCGAAACAAAAGATCGGTGCTCTCTCTGATCAGAATGTTAACGGAGTCTCAACTGAATCAACTTCGGCTGAAGATTCATGTCATAGAACGTCCACGTCAGATATCTTAACAATGGATTCATCCGAACCTTCGTCGTCAATGACAACAGTTATCAGTCTTGATGAGAATGAGGTGACACCAGCACAACGTTCACGAAGTGCTTTTGATACGGAAGGTGTCGAACCTTTCAAACGTGATCCGTGTCGTGGACCGATGTTCGCGAAAGAATTCATCTTACTCGGACCGCATCAGCCCAAATGTCACTATCCTACCATCGAACGGCGTCATTTTCGCTACGATTGGTTTGGAATCTACAAGTGGCTCGAGTATAACGAAGCCAATGGCAAAGCTTATTGCTTCATCTGCCGATTCTCTTATAACCCCATTAAATCTGACAAGTCGTTCACAGTCGATGGTTTCGGATGCTGGAAAAATGCTATCAGCAAATTTAATAAGCACCAATCGACTCTTTCACACAAGCAGGCTTGTGAGACTGGGTCAAATGCAAGACGAAATCGTTTGAATGATGAAAGTGTTCTGAATCAAATTGATCGTCGGTCTGACAAGCAATGTGAAGAGAATCGTCTCTATTTGGTAGAAATCATCCGAATGACTGTATTCCTTGCGAAACAAGGCTTGGCTCTTCTTGGTCATCGAGAGGATGACGAGTCCAGTAACCGAGGAAATTTTCTCGAACTGCTTGAATTACGGTGCATTGACAATGCGATCATCAGAAGAAGTATTTGTTCATTGAAATTCACTGATCATAAAATCCAAAATGAATTGTTACTTTTAATTCAAACAAACATCACCAATCAGATCGTACGCGAACTTGGAAAATCGAAATATAATGTAATACATGGGTAACTGTAATACAAAATTATTTCTTATTATTAGTAATAAGTCACAGTTCTACTTTGCATTACAAGGAACAAAAATAAAATACTTTTATTATTAATAATAAGAAATAAATTCTGATTAGTTTACTAAATAACGTGATAAGCTAGTAAAAGTAAAATAATACTCCTAGTTTTTAGTTTCACCGACTTTTTTCTAATTTTTTTAAATTTTAAGAGCAAGAAAAGCCCATTTTCATTGTAAGTTAAGTCGTTTGAATTGAACAATAGATTGACTAGATTTCAAACCAAATAAAACAACTTTTCCGGTGAATTAAGCTAAAAAGTGCACGAAGCTTAGCTATAGATGATCATTTAATTAAGAATAACCTTTTAACAACCATCAGCCAAGATTTAGACGTAAAAACAGCACGATTAATTTGTTACTGGACGTAGCATCAAATACACAAAGGTTTTTAGGAATTAGATTTCGTGCAAGCAGCTCTGATCCTTTCCACGAGTTTTCAGACAGAAATATTCATCCAAAAACACGTTAGGAAATCTTTTGAATATTCTTCCGAAAAAAATGTTCTTATTTTACTTTACTGAACAGTAACACTAATTTTATGAATATTCCTATGGGAATAGGAATACTGTTCAGTATTAGTGTTACTAATAACAGGAACATACATGAAAGAATACTGTTATCGGTAGTACGAATATATACAATATTTGTATTACTGGTAATAGTAACAGTAATGTGCCACCCCGACTAACAAGAAACAGAGATGTCAGAATATCAATGCGCAGTGTATTCTCAAAAAGACACTATTTCCTGGGTTTGCTGGTCTTGGTGTATTCTCATTGACAATACACGAGAATATATCAGAATACGCAAATACATAAATTTCTATAAAATGTGCTGGGCTTGTTTTACTGAATGATGTATAGTCAGAGAATGTTTGAAAGCTCGCGTAGAAAAAGCAGGAATAACATCCCTGGTTAAGGAATTCCACTGCCTTATTGTTCGAGGTAAAAATGATGAATTTATAATTTTTCGTTTGAACTTTGGCACTTCCCAAAGACGACGGTTCGAAATTGCCTTGAGATAGTTTTTTCACTTTACTGACAAACGTCAGCAGACTCTTTGATCTTTTCTTCATTTTCTGCTTCACGTTTTGTGACTAAATTTGTCATATGTCTCGAACAAATTCCATGACGACGTTTGAAGTTGTGAAGCCAGTGTGACCACTCGCAAGATAGTTTTCTTCGTTGAGGTCCCGTACTTTTTTCAGAGCCTGACGCTTTAAATCGATATCATGGATGAAAAGCGGGTCTTCGCGTGCTTTTTGGAAAAAATTATAGACGAATTCGCCAATTTCCTCCAGTTTTTGTTTCTTGGTTCCACTAGCCTCTAGGCACTTCCTAAAACGTGCTATGTACTTTCTGTTCATAACCTTCCGAAACTTATGGTGAAAGTTTTGCTATGAATGTTTTCTTTTCCAGTGACTGAATCTTTCTCGTCATAAAACTGGACGACCCGCTGCATGTACTAAAGCGAGAACTCGTGCAGCAAACTTTTATCATCGTCTTCCACCTTTTCTTCTTCATAACCTTTTCTTCTTCAAGTTGCTGTTATTTTTTAGTGAAAGTTGGTATCAAATGAGACAGTCACAACAGTGAGAAAGGCTCTATTTTTTTTTCTCTCGCTTTCGCCTTACTCTTTCACTAATCACTGTTTTATATGGAAGCATGTGCTAGAGAATTTACATTTTAGAAGTGACGAAAACAACAACGACAGCCATCTTTAATTTATGTAAACAATAACAGCTGATAGCTGATCAAGAAAAAGAGTCTGAAGAAGCAACAGGCGTAAGACTGTATTTTTACAGCTACTATAAAGAAAAATCTACAGATCTTGAACGAAGCAGCGTAGAAGTCTGAAACTTTGGGCATATTTCCTAAATAGATAGACCTATGTTGTGCGAAAGTTTCAAGCGATTTCGTGGTTATTTGATGGAGTTACGAATTTTTCATTTTTTCACGTTTTCCGCTAGGAAACTCAAAAAAAATGCCTATAACTTTCGAAGAAAGCTAAAGGGGCACTAATCCTTTTAGGCTTTTTCATACCTCCATATACTCTATCGAATGGCATATGGACGCAGGAAAACGGAGGGTGTCACCTCGTAACGTTCCCTCGTAAGGAGTAGCCGTTGCAACTAGAGTGTTCACAGACAGCCATTTCCTGTTTCGACAACACTACTTTTCTCTAAGAACAAAACGTATTCATAGTCATTTGACATCTGAAACACCAAGAAAAGTAAAAAGAAAAGAATTATTTTTCTCAAAATAATTGACTGTGGATTCCCTCTAGAGAACAACAATTCCTTTATATCTAGTATTTTTTGTCAGCTGTTAGTTCACAAGTTAATAAGAAAACAGATATTTTCTGCAATTCTAAAGAGAATAGATCTAGCACTTTTAAAAAGATCTTGACTAGAACTCAGCGATAAAGTTTCTTTTATAGACAATTACTATTCTCAAATCAGAACGTCTGGTAAAAAAATCATTTCATTTCTGTTAATACATTGCAGTTTTGAACTGTCTACCTCATTAAAAAACACACAACAGTATCTATAAAGTTATGTTTGAAACAAAACTCCTTTCATTCGTTATTCCATTATCTATATTACGTCGTTGCTTATGTTCTTTAATTAATCTTGCCATTTTGAAAGTATATTTAATTGTAAAACCCTGCAAGGAATAAAAAAGCGAGTAAGTCCAACTTCCTCTGTCAGCAGTATTCCTCCATACCAATACAATTGTAAGTATCGTACACCCTCCAAATACAGTTCCACTTAACCAAGCTTGTTGCGTTGAGCGATAATCTCTGTAAGATGAACCAGTATCATAGTGATCATAATAGGAAGAAGAACGATCACGAACAGGATGAATTTGAATTAGATTGACAATGAATACAATTAAGAGGAATACAATAGTTAGACAGAGAATTACAAAATCAATAAAACCAAGCCAACCGATCTAAAAGAGCAAAGATTTGAAATGGCATAAGTATATGAGCAAAAAAGGCTTACCACTAAGAGACCAGTTCGAAATTGTTTACAGATCATAATCATTGCAACAATACAATAAGCCAATTGATAGATAGCTAGTAGCAATAGTGTGAGTGGTGAGAGAAGACTCTTAGAGTTGGCATACTAACACTTACTTGGTGCAAGATAATCTCGTGCTATAGCTAAAATACTCAAAGGATTTCTAGTCGATAAATCATCTTGAAACCTAATATAGATAGCTATTATACTGATGTATGCAAGTGCGCATAAACCCTAGAAAAGAAGAGTTGAACCTGCTTTCATGATCCTTCTGTGATTTAGACACTTACTAATTGTATTGAAAATAGTATAATGACAATTCTACGTATTCTATTTAACAGTGACATTTGGAATTTTGTTCGATTTGTAGTACTTCCATGGTTTTCACCTGCTGATGGCAGTGACTGTGGTGTTACGTTGTCATTTTCAATGTCATTATAATGATCATCTTCAGGTATCATAGAAATTTTTTCTGTACTAGCTTTGTATTCCATGTTGTTTTGCGTCAGTTAGTTTGTGTAACCTGATGTATGTGTAACTTTTGCTTCTCTCTGTGTCGATCGATGATGAAAATAAGAAGATAAGAGTAAATAAATATATAAGATTATTTTTTGCTTTTCTTCTTTATGGAACCAGAACCTCAAATTATGTATCGCCTCGAGATATCTTTTTGCTTTTCTTTCTTATTCCTATCATGAAATAGAAACGCAAATCAAATAATATGGAATAGGAGCGGAACAGAAGAAGAAATTTATGTAAAGACGAAATGAAACTCTCAAACACATGGCTAACACTTGCCAGTGCCAACTCAACATTCTGTTCAAATCGAGAGAAATAATTCTGACAAAAGAACAACTATGTTACTGTCATAAACTATCTAAGCTCCTACTGTCTTGACCTCTGAATTTTGATCGGATCAAATTCAATAATCTAAGTTCAAAAATCTCAAATGTTTTGTTTAATGCAAAAAGGAAACGTTTGCTAATTTTCCCCTTCATTTGTCACTGCAGAATCAAAAAATCTTTCTTTTAATTCTCGAAATGTTTGCAAAAGCCGAGGAGACATGCAAACTTATATTTACTGTTTTCCCCAACGATTCTAAAAAGTTATTTTTGTTTGATTCGAGACGAGTATAACGGCTTTTGGAAGCATTTTTTAACTCTTGAAACTCGACAATAAAACGCGTCCATGGTTTTTGAGAAGCAACATCTGCAGACAGATGTGGTTCATTCAAAAAGCGACAGCTAGAATAATTTGTAATGACTATGAAACACGCAATTCATTAATGATGAACAAATTAAATTTTCCTGATTTAAGTGAAAGACGAAAATATTTTCGTTTGTTACATTTGTCATAAAATTGTGGTAGAAAATAGCGCTCTTTCAAGATTTAACGTGATCGAACCTTTAATTAGCAGAACATCGGATAGGCTGAATAATCGGTGCCAGCACGCTATCGCAACGACAAGCTTACAAGCACACACTTTATTGGCACTCATTACGGCCATCGAAAAAACGGTCCGATCAAGTTCAAAATTGTACCACAGATACGTCAGATCCTGTCTCAGGTTCACTTTTTCTCTTTTCGAAAAATATCCTTTCCTTGTCGAGATATCCGAAAATTGGTAAAAACAACTTTTTTTTTTGAAAACATTTTGAAGCTCTGTGTTTATTTAAGAAAATCAAGACTTTTTCGTCAAAAGCAGCTGAAGGACCGATTCCTCACTTCATTTCTTTCTGCTGATTATTGACTATCGGCATAAGCGTTCCGTCTTCAAACCATCTTTGAGCTAAGAAAAGCTGATAATTAGCATTTTTTGGAAAAGTTATAATTTCAGTCAGAGCAATCATCGACGCACAGTGGGCAATTTTGGCTAGAGCAAGCGGACATATGGTTTTATTCACAAAGTTTGAGTGCT